TGCCCACAACAGATTGCAGTACTGATATTTCTTTCTTTTCCGAAGCATCACTGAAATCATGAAAACTAAATGATTTCACCTAGTACCTGTGCAATTATCTGATCTAGCTAAAGTATGGAAGAGAAAGGGAAATGTTAGGATAAGATTGGTAGATCAACATCAATGTAATATACTAATAACTGTTATATTATATATATACATATATACATACACATACACATATATACTAAATATGTGTATGTGTATGGATATATGTGGATATGTATATGTAGGTATGTATGTATATGTATGTATGGAGAAAGGAGAGACAGAGAGAGCTTTCCTCACAATAATTCTATAATTTGCTATTTCATTTCAAAGATGAAGAGAGACCTTGAGAGTGTCCTTGTATCACTTCTGACCACTTGCATCATGTGAGTTCTCTGTAAAACAGTCTTTTAGGCAAATGTATATTTGGCATTTGAACAACATGGCCAGTCCATCAGAGTTGCTCTACAGTAGAATTTGAATGCTCAGCAGTTCTGTTCTTGCCAAGTCATCTTCATAATATTTCTAAGACAATTCAAATTCAAGAAGTTCAATTTTCTGGCATGGAACTGGTAGACTGTCCAGGTTTCATAGGCATACAACAATGAGGTCAGCACAATGGCTCTATAGACCTTCAGTTTGGTAGACAGCCTAATACCTCTTCTCTCCCACACATTCTTTTGGAGCCTCCCCAATGCTGAGCTTATTCTGGCAATATATGTGTCAACCTCATCAACTATGTATACATCCTGGAAAGTATACTGCCAAGGTAAGTAAACTTATCCATAGCAGTTTATGGATAAGTCAAAACTTCTCCATTCTCTGTAACCAAAGAATCCATGTATGAATGGTGAAGTGCTGGCTGGTGGAAAACCTTTATTGTCTTGGTATTAACTGTTAGCCAAAATTAGCATAAGTGGAAGAGAACTGATCCATACTCTGTGGTATCTCAGCCTCAGAGGCTTCACTGAGTGCACAATCATCTGCAAAAAAGTGTGCACCAACTTTCCCCCATTTTAGTCTCGCCTTACAGCCTTTTCAAATTAAATTAAATTAAAATTTTCAAATTAAATAATTTACAGTCAATGTGGTACAGTAGTTGACCTTGAGGCCATTTTCATCCTCATTGAAGGTGGCTGACAACATCACTGGGAACAGCATACTATAAAGCCTAGAAAGCAAGCACACAGCTCAGCTTCAATCCATTGGTGAGTTGGAAAGGTCAAGAACATAATATATTATCCAGATCCCACGCAAGCATACCATCATGAAACTGGCATACAATACTGATGAATTTCTCCAGGAAACCAGATTTCACCAAATGGGGTTATAGAGAGTTAGACACGACTGGAAGCACTGAACAACTATGAAATACCATTTATACAAGATGCCGAGGTATTGAGCATGGAAGTCTAGGAAATTCTTTAATCTCCTACTACTAATCCCTACTTTCACTCTCCTCCCACAAACACATACATCACAACACCAATAACAAAATACAGCAGGGGAAGAAAAATATTTCAGCTTTGAAGTTACTCTTAATATCCCACACTCCTTCTTCTCTGCTTACATGTGATCAATGGAGGAAAGGAAAAAATACTTTAAAATGACTAAATTAATAGTTAATTAAAATAAATTTGAAAATTACTAAAAAAATATCCTCTATCACTACCTCTTCTACCCTTGGACTAAAGCTCCTTCCTCCCTAGTGCAAAAGGAAAAAGGAAGGAGAAAGAAAAAAATCATCTCACCCCAAGCTCTTGTCACTCCATCTCACATGTCTTCAACCACAGAAGGAAAATGGAATTTATCAAAAGGAAATATATACATACATATACATATACATACACACACACACACACACACACACACATAAAACTTCCTACTGAGGGAAAAATATAAAGCCTGCTGATACTATTTCTGCACCTCAAAAGTTTTTTCATCCTTATTTCTTATCCATATCTATCACATATGGCTCTGTGAAAAGAGGAAGGAAATACACATATGCTTCCCAGATATCCTCCTGATTTATAACATCTGCAATTATATAGATATGTGTATGTATATACATACATATATATCTATATAGACAAATACATGTGTATATATTCATATAGATGATTTATATAGCATATATTCATTACTGTTTAGATATAATTAGTATATATTATATGCATGAGATATAACTATTTATTATATCTATGTAACTATATATGAATAATATATCTATAACAATATGTATGTATTATATGTAATATATATAACAATGTGTATATATTATATGTAATGTACATGTAACAATATGTGTTATATTATTTAACAATATGTACATATGGTCCATAAGGAATTATAGGTATAATGTATTATATATTTAATATATAATTATATGTGGAGGCCTCAGAAGCATGTCACTCCACCTCTGCAATCAAAGAAAGATCTCAATTCATCTTGGGGGTCAAGCTTGGTCATTATAATTATATAGCATTTAATTTCATTTTTTACAAAGTTTCATTGTATATATAATTTTTCTTGGCTTAGCTTACTTCCTTCTCCATCAGTTTATACCTCTTCCTATGCTTCTCTGAATGTGTTATATTTGCAATTTCTTATGAGAAAGGAATATTCCATTATATTCATTTACCACAATGTGTTTAGCCATTTCCAAGTTAATGAGCACCTACTTTATTTCAGCCAAACTGTCCTACTTGCCATTAACTGAAATTGACATTCCATCTCCTACCTCCATGCTTATCACAAACCTTCCTCATGAGACCCATCTCCTTACTTCCACCTCTTAGAGTCTATAGCATCTCTCATGGCTTAGTACATGTTCCATCTCCAAAGCCAAGCCTTATCTGACCTCCCTAGTTGTTACTTCATTCTACCTGCTCAAATTATCACACATATACTTATGTTAACAGGTTATATCAATACTCTGACCCCTAATAGAAAGTAATTTTCTTGGTCACAGAGTGTATTTTCTTTTGTCATTATCTTCCCAGGACCTTACACAATTCCTTATATACAATAGGCACTTAAAAAATGCTTTCTTGATTGGTAGCTCCCAAATGTTGCTCTGGGGTGAACTTTTCAACCCACCTCACTCTGATACCCTGAGGATATCAGTCTGACATCAGCTGAGATCACTTTTCTTGCTTCATTAATGACATTTTTTTCTATTTTGCTACAGCACTGGGGGGCCAGTGTCTCTTGGATCTTTAGTCCTTGGACAGACAGCACTCTCACAAATCTAAGAGACATTTTTGCTCTAGAGAGAAAGGTATTTAATTTGAACCATGATGTACATTGACTATTGTAGGAAATGAATAGTAAACATACTATGACACATGGACTGTCAGGGAATTCTTAGCGCAACAGCATACAAAATCTGTCAACATTATTTCTATGCAATGAAGGTAGAAAGGATCCTTAACAATAATTCTGAAAACATAAGGCAAATAATCATTCTTGTAATGAGGATAGTACTAGATTAGCTCTCCTACATACAGTTGAACATACCTGGACAAAAGGCCATATAGACAAACTCCAATCAAAGAAAGAGAGACAAAGGAAGTTACAATGAGAGAAAAGGACTTCAATGTCATGTCTTTTTTCTTCTGTTTATCTGTAGGTCAGGGTAGAGTCAGGCCAGAGAGCAAGGAAAATCATGTTATCACTTATGACCACCAGAGCACAGCCAAATGGGTTGTCACTCTCCTTGGAAACCAGAAAGGAAGAGAAAAGTTTGAATCATCATTAAGAGTTTAATGCATTTATCTATAACTAGAAGGGAAGGAGGGAGAGGTAAAAAAGTAAAAGCACCAAAAGCTTGTGTCTTGAAATACCTTTGACTATTTCTGATTAATTTTAGTCACATACAATGTGTCATGTGACTCCAAACCTGCTGTATCAGTAAGTTCAATTACGTAATTACGCAATTCAATTATGTAATTACGTAATTCAATTACGCAATTAAGTACTGGTGAATCTGTTATCAGAATGACCTGAATTCAAATTCTGCCTCACATATTTACTAGTTGTGTCACCCTAAGCAAGTCTTTTTAACTTCTATTTCAGTTTCCTCATCTGTAAAATGGGGATAATAATAGCACCTACCTTCCAAGGTTGTTTTGAGAATAATATGAGTTGATATTTTTAAAGCATTTTGTAAGCTGAAAAGCACAAAATGTTTGCTATTGTTGTTACTGTTAATCAGTGCAATATCTTATTGCAAGGTCATCCTGGAAGGAATTGTTTATGCACCTAAGAAGATCTGACCTTGTTATTGCACAAAAAGCTTCCTCATTCAATTCATTTTATATTCCTTATTGGGCTAGTAATTGGTCTATCTGCCTACCAATCTTTGCTCTCACCATATAACCAATCCAGTTTTTCTCTTCTTAGAGAGTGCTAGCCTAATCAGGGCCCCTTTTTATTCTTAATTTTTTAATATATACATTTTTGTACTAATGGCTATTGTAATCCATTGGGTAGTGTTGGGATATTTGGTAACTGAGAAATACAAAATTGTTAATAACCAAAATAGGCAATGAAACCAGAATCCATGAAGAGTAGTTTAAACACTGACTCCCAAACAAGAAGAAATAGATGCAGTATTAATTTGTTTCATCTTGACTATCCTGACATCCAGCGTGTTAGGTTACCAAATATTTAATAACAATCCCATGGTTCTAATAATATTTAAAAGGATTTATAAATAAAGAACAAAAATATGATCAATTGAAACAATCCCTGAAAATTCTTTTTTTTTTAGATGTAGAAAAATTTATTAAGGACATGTCATACTACAAAAGTACACTAAAGACAGGAGTGCATTGTCCAGGAAGACTTGTCTATGTGTCTATCTATGTGTTTTCCCATGGATGGATCAAAAAGGTTGAAACTGAGAGGTTGTCATTTTTTTTCTCAATCCCACAATGTTATCCAAAAATTCAGAGAATATCTCTGGCTTGTCAGGAGGAAAACGTTTCAATGATGATGTCTTCTGATTTTAACAGCTCAAGAAGGGTGCTGCATGTGCAATAGAAAAGATACCCTTCTTTGTGCAGCTGTCTAGCCAGCTCTAACTGGTGATTATCCATCAGCTTTTCATTTACTACCACCACCAAGGACTTCCCTTCTTCCAGAGGCTCCAAGCAGTTCCCTGCACCGGCATGGCTAATGATGAGATTTGAATCTCTTATTGTCTTCTTTCAAGGAATTTTTGTATGTGAGGGATTGTCTGATGTTGGCTACGTGCCATGTGGGGGTTGTGGCAAGATGGGGCAGGGACAAGATATTAGGAAGTAACCGGAGCTTATGCTCCTGAGGCAGGGGGCTGTGCCATGTGGGAGTGGGACGGCAGAGAACAAGCTCCCTTTGTCTAGTTCTCTCCCTAGGTGAAGCACTAACCCCAGACGCCTCCTTCCGGTATCTGGGCTTAGCTTCCTTTGTCACGTCCTCTCCCTTGGTGCAGTGCTTACCCCAGACATCCCCTTCCGGTATCTGATCCTACCATCAATCTGGTAGGCGGGCTGAGGAGGAGGGGCTAGGAAGGTATATAAGGGGCGGTAGGGGTCGGAGCTCGCTCTCTCTTGCTCTTGCTCTTGTTCCTGCTCGTGCTTTCCTGCTTGGGCTTGCTGTGATGGCCTCCGAATAAAGTTTGAGTGCTTGCACCTCCCGATCGGCTCGTCTCTATGTTTATCCAGGTGGGCTCCAAAGACTGGTAAGTATGACTGAAGCATGACTGGCAGCCTGCTCCTATTAGAAGGAGAGTGCACGGCGCGACTGGCACATTTGTACCTATAAACAATCAAAGAAAAAGATGTTGAATCGAAGGAGTCTGGTACCACTCTGCCTCCGCCAATCTGTGGAACAAGTCTTCGATAACCAAGTCTCCTGAGTACCTGGAAGGTAGCCCTGGAAGACGTACAGGTTATGAACTCGTCAAAACTAGTGTTACCCATGGTGATGAAAACAGACTTCATAGCCATAAGCTCTAGGCAGCCTCAATCCCTGAAAATCTGACTTGCATAGGTAAACAGAGAAATAACCATTTTTGAGAAGCATCTGATAACAACTTCTATTTATGATCTACAAAAGGGTTTTACATACATTATCTTATTTAATCCTTACAACACCAATGTGAACCGGTGATACTTGGAGTGGATGATCTGGGAAGTATTGTTAATAAGGTTTTTGTAATCAGTTGATCATTGTTCAGTAGAAAGAGTACTGGATTTGGAATTAAAAGACTTAGGTTCAAATCCTAGCCCAGATACTTACACTTAGGCAGTTACCTTGAGCAGTGAGTAGAGTATTAGGACCTGGAGTCACTTCCTCATTGTGTGATTTTTAGCAAACTACTTAACTATTCTAAGAGTTAGTTTCCTTATCTTTAAAATGGGGTAATAACTTACAGTATTGTTGTGAGGATCAAATGAGGTAATATATAAAGTACTTTTCAAACCTTAAAGTGCTATACAGATTCTAAGTATGGTGATAGGCAAGTTATTTTACTTTTCTGTGTCTCAATTTGCTTATTTGTAAAATGGAGTTAGATTACAAGGATTACATAATTCATTAATATAAGTGAAAGATGACAAGCAACATGATATAGAATGCAAGCTCTTCAATAGAAGAGATTGTTTCAGTATTTGTATTTGTATCATCAGAACTTAGCCCAATGCCTTATACATACTAATAAATACTTGATAATTGATTGATTGACTTTGGGTAGTAGTCCTAGAAAGCATTTTTTTTTGTTTTTGTTTGGAAAGTGTCAGGGATGGTAAATGAAGCTTGTTAGGATGGTCTGTGTAAAGTACTCAGCAAACAAGATAGCACAGAGACCAAGAATTCCCTACCTGAAAGGATTAAGAATTCCAGGGTTCCATGGTATAGTTTTAGGGCAGATGATGAGAAGATAACCTGTGTCTGACCATAGGTCAGTCATTTTATCTCTCAGTGTTCCAGGATATTTAAACCTATACATTATACAGGTTTCAAATCTATATTTAAAGTGTGTTGGGGTGCTCCACACTGGGAATTCCCTGATGAAATTTTCAGTTCTGTCAGTGATGTCATTGATTTGGATGTTCCCTCCAGTGATTTAAATCAAAACTAATCCATGCTTGCCACCCCCTGGAACTGTTGTTTTGTTCATGCCCTCCCATAAGCTTTCTATAAGTGGAAGTCCACTTAACTCTTTAGAGACCATAAATAATTAAAATAGATGCCAACGCAGAAAGGTAATTTGGATATGGTGAATGGAATCAAGAAGCTTGCATTTATTCTTCATAATAAGGAATTGCATAATGTTAAAGAATATGCCCTAGAATGAAAGCGTTGAGCCTTGTTATTTTGTGCATCATTAAATTCTGCAGAAATCATTCTCTGAATTTTAAAACTAACTCATATGACAATGTCAAGTATTTTCCACACCTGCACTGTGTAGGTTCTATTTGTACCACTGTCATTGAGGTGGAATGAAATGGAGGCAATAAAGGGATTATTCTTGAATGTTGCCAGGTGAAGAAAACCCTTCACCTCTGAACTTGATTTAATCAGCAAGCATTCTGGCAACATGCAATGTATAGAGACTGTTTTAATTCAGATCTTCTTAAAATAAATGTATACTTGCTGAAGGGTTTAGAATTCATTTTGAATATGTAAAATAATTACTTTTACTTAAAGGATATGCATATGAAGAATCAAGCATGAATCAATGTTAAGAATTCAATCAATGCCATATGTCATTCTTATACTGTCAGAATATATTTTCCAGTCTGGAAAATTATTTGTTGATTTGTTAAAATATATGTAAATTTATGGTTTGATATATTACTTCTTTCCCTCCTCAGTATAGTTCGTATCTTATTTCCATTTTCATGAAGTATAATTATTTTGAAACCTTTTTACTTATTATTTACAAAATGGCAAAATATTAAATGAAAATATGATATATCTAATAGCAGAAAAATAGATTTCATGATTTTTGTTTTAAAACATTTTTAATAAATATCATTTAAAATGTGCCATCATTGGGATAATTTATACTTAAATGGAATTTTTCAAAATGTTGTTTCTGACTGGCCTATAGTATTACTTGGAGGTTCTTTTAAAACTTAGAACATTTCCCTTTAGTCAAATTTCATTTAATTCACTTAGGATTTTCTATTTCCCTATGAAAATGAATGCCAACTTTCTATTTAAGAGAAAATGAATAATGGGATCACAAGGCCATGAAAATACAGATGCAAAGCAGATTCATGTAGTAATTAGTTTTCCAGATATCTTCTCCAGAAAAGAGAGATAGAAACAGAGATAGAGAGAAAAAGAGATTTCCCAGCAATGGCATAGTGGGCGTTGATAAGGAATTTCTTAACAACGAACTAAAGATAGACCACTACTAACATCCCTAACTGCAACCACTACCTTCCTTTCTGTTTATCCAATTCCTATCTATCCTTCAAATCCTAATTTCTTTATGAGGTCTTTTCTGACCCTTCCAGTCTATAATTCTCCTTCTCTTTTATGTACTTAATATCGTTTTTGCCAGTCCTCTGTGTGATACAGTCGAAACTGTTGGGTTTTGTGTTTGTGGATAGATGTTTGAATATTGGCTCTGCTACCTGCTACTTGCATGGTGCCTTAATCTGGGATTTAGTCTTGGCATTAATCTCCTTACATGGAAAATGTAGGTATTAGACTAATTGACCTCTGAGGTGCCTTCCAACTTTAAATCTATGACCTTTTATACTATTGGCATGTATTTCAAATTAACTATCCCATTATTATATAAAGTGTCATGTGATTGTCCATCAAGTAGACTGAATATTCCATGAGGCCAGGGATCATCTGCAATACTTCACAATATTCATTCAATTCCTATAACTTACAAATGTATACACAAGACCACCCTGGCTTCTATCCCCTGAAGGAAAGGTGTGTTACATTTCACTCCTACCCCCGGAGTTTTCCAGTAACCTTAAGAAGATTGGGGAGGGTTTCTAGTCTCTCTGTAAAGTGCTCCAGCCCCTACCAATACTGTTCCCCAAGTAAAGGTGGGGGCAGGGGAGGTCTACTGTACCACATTTCCATTTAGCCACTAATAGTCTTATTAGCTTTCACAAAGAAATATTTACTTCAAAAAGTATGATGATAAATATGTGAACTTATTTCCCCAATACATGGGAGGTATAATCTCCCCCTTCCTACCACCCAACTTGGCACCACCTCAGTCTCTGGGCAAAGGAAGAGGATTAGGTTCATAGCTTAACTAACTAGAATTCTGGCTCCAACATCATTACCATGGTTCAAATTCCCAGTTCCAGTGGGCATTGCTGCCAGCACCTGAAAAATGAGGAGAAATGAAACAGAACAGAGACAAATACCCCCAGCCCCATTTCTTGGAGCCAGGAGACAGGAGACAGAGATTAGGGAAAGGAAGGAAATTCATTTGTAAACTTTGTGCAATAACAATAATAATAATTAGCATTTAGATGGCACATAAAAGTTTGCAAAGCAGTTTACTTATGTTATCTTAGGGGTGGGAGTAGGGTGGAGAGGAAAGTTGCAGGTGCAAAAGCAAAACAGGAAATAACCAGGATGAAGAACATGGTTCCAGGAAGTTCAGAGCTGAGTGGTTTCTTTGTCTTTAGAGATTAAATTTGGAGCCTGAAAGTGCCAAGCAACTGTGATCATTACCTGGAGTGCCAGAAAGAGAGCAGCAGAAAGAGAGAGATCACTTCTACCATAGCACTCTTTTTCAACAATCCAAAAGGTGACTCTGCACATGGACATCACCAGATGGTCAATATTAAAATCAGATTGATTATATACTTTGCAGCCAAAGTTGGAGAAACTCTATACAATTAAAACAAGACCTGGAGCTGACTATGGTTCAGATCATGAGCTTCTTATTGCAAAATTCAAATGTAAATTGAAGAAAGTAGGGAAAACTATCAGATCATATAGTTATGACCTAAATAACATCCCTTATGAATATAAAGTAGAAGTGATGATAGATTTAAAGGAATAGATCTGACAGAGTATCTGAAGAACTATGGACAGACATTCAAAATGTTGTTATCGGAGATCAAAAAAAAAAAATTCCAAAGAAAAATTAGAGCAAGAAAGCATAATGATTGTCTGCTGAGGCTTTACAAATAACTGAGGGAAAAAGGAAAGCATAAGGTAAAGGAAAAAGGGAAAAATGTATCCAAATAAATGCAGAATTCCAGAGAATAGCAAGGAGAGAAAAGGTTTTCTTAAATTAACAATTCAAAGAAATAGAAGAAAACAATAGAATGGGAAGATGAGATCTTTTCAAGAAAATTAGAGATATCAAAGAAACGTTTCATGCAAAAATGGGCATGATAAAATGCAAAAATGGTAGAAACTCAACAGAAGTAGAAGAGATTAAGAAGAGGTGGCAAGATACACACACACAAAAAAATCTATTCAGGAAAGATCTTAACATCAACAACAACCACAAGAGTATGATTCCTGATCTAGAGACAGACTTACTAGAGAATAAAGTCAAGTGGCATTTAGGAAGCATTGCTAGCAATAAGGCTAGCTGATGGAGCTGATGGAATTCCAGTTGAGCTATTTAAAATCCTAAAAGGTGATGCTTTTAATGTGCTGCACTAAATATTCCAGTAAATTTGGAAAACCCAACAGTGGCCACTGGATTAGAAAATATCAATTTTCATCCCGATCCTAAAGAAGAGCAATGCCAAAGAATTACTGAACAATTGCACTCATTTCATATGCCAGCAAGGTTGTGCTTAAGATTCTGCAAGCTAGGCTTCAGCAATATGCAAACCAAGAATTACCAGAAGAGTGGGTTGGTTTTTGAAGAGACAGAGAAACCAGAGACCAAATTGCTAACATTTACTGGATTATGAAAAAAGCAAGACAGTTCCAGAAAAAAAAAAATTTACTTCTGTTTCATTGACTATACACTGAATCTTTGACTGTGTGGACC